TCCCGGCCCTGCCACCCCGATCCCGGCCCTGCCACCCCGGCCCGGCTGCGTTTTTCCCCGGTGAACCTCGGTCCGGGCGCAGTTCCCCTCCTGCACCCCAGCCCCATTGCATTTCCCCTCCTGCACCCCAATCCGGGTGCCTTTCCCTTCCGTGCAGAATGATTCGGGTTCATATCCTCTCGTTGAACCTGGCCCCATTGCATTTCCCTTCTGTGCACCACCATCCGGGTGCATTTCCCCTCCTGAACCCCAGTCTGTGTGCTCCCTTCCATGCACCCCCACCCCGTTGCATTTCTCCTCCTGCATCCCAATCCGGTTGCATTTCCCCTTGGTGCATCACAATCTAGGTGTATTTCCGCTCTGTGTACCCTGACCTATTTGCATTTCCCCATCCAGCACCTCATTTTGGACGCATTTCCCCTTCTGCACCCTAATCTGGGTGCATTTTGCCTCCATGCACCGTGATTCAGGTGCATTTCCCCTCTGTGTATCCCGACCCCATTGCATTTCCCCTTGGTGCATCACAATCTAGGTGTATTTCCGCTCTGTGTACCCTGACCTATTTGCATTTCCCCATCCAGCACCTCATTTTGGACGCATTTCCCCTTCTGCACCCTAATCTGGGTGCATTTTGCCTCCATGCACTATAATTCAGGTGCACATCCGCTCCCTGCGCCCTGGCCCCATTACATTTCCCTTCCCTGCACCGTGGCCCCATTGTATTTCGCCTCCTGCACCCCAATCTGGGTGCAGTTCCCCTCCGTGCACCCCCACCCCACTGCATTTCCCCTCCTGCATCCAATCTGGGTGCATTTCCCGTCCTGCACCCCAGTCTGGGTGCAGTTCCCCTCCATGCACCCCCACCCCATTGCATTTCCCCTCCTGCACCCCAATCCGGTTGCATTTCCCCTTGGTGCATTGCATTTTGCTATCCAGCACCTCATTCTGGGTGCATTTCCCCTTCTGCACCCCAATCTGGGTGCATTTTGCCTCCATGCACCGTGATTCAGGTGCATTTCCCCTCCGTGTACCCCCACCCCATTGCATTTCCCCTTGGTGCATCACAATCTAGGTGTATTTCCGCTCTGTGTACCCCGACCTATTTGCATTTCCCCATCCAGCACCTCATTTTGGATGCATTTCCCCTTCTCCACCCTAATCAGGGTGCATTTTGCCTCCATACACCGTGATTCAGGTGCATTTCCCCTCGGTGCACCCTGGCCCCATTACATTTCCCTTCCCTGCACCGTAGCCCCATTGCGTTTCGCCTCCTGCACCCCCATCTGGCTGCATTTCCTGTCATGCATCCCCACCCCATTGCATTTCCCCTCCTGCACCCCAGTCCGTGTTCATTTCCTCTTGGTGCATTGCATTTTCCTATTCAGCACCTCATGCCTCCAGGGCTTAGCACTTGGAAATACAAGTATTCATGGATACTGCTCTGTGCACCCCAACGCCACTGCATTTCCCCTCCTGCACCCCAATCCGTGTTCATTTCCCTTTGGTGCATTGCATTTTGCTATCCAGCACCTCATTCTGGGTGCATTTCCCCTTCTGCACCCCAATCTGGGTGCATTTTGCCTCCATGCACCGGGATTCAGGTGCATTTCCCTTCGGTGCACCCCAGCCCCATTGTATTTCCCCTCCTGCACCCCATCCCAGGTGCATTTCTTTTCAGGGCATGTCAATCCCAGCACATTTCCCCTCTGTGCACCCCAGTCCAGGTGCACATCACCCCTATCCCCTCCGTGGTCTGCCTGCATTTTCCCCTTCCCCACCTGCACCCCAGTCCCAGTGCCTGTCCCCCTTTCTGTGCTCCTGGGTGCTGGTGCATCTCCTCTCCCAGCCCCCCAGGCTGAACCCAGCATTTTGGGTCCTCTGTCCCAGGGCCTGGCCGGGAGCTGGCATTGCCCAAGGGTGCATTCCTGTCTGTGTGGTGTGGTTCAGGAGCAGTATTTGGGTATTTTCCCTTTTTTCAGGAATTTTCCCTTTAATTTTCTCTGCCTCTCACCTCTCTGCAGGTTTACGGATCCATGAATACTTGTATTTCCAAGTGCTAAGCCCTGGAGACATCCGCTACATCTTCACTGCCACTCCGGCCAAGGATTTTGGTGGCGTGTTTGTAAGTATTAAGAAATAAATGTGTCTTGGGTTCCCCCCATCCTAATATTTCTCCATTGCGGTGCCCGGTGATTTGAAACCTTTCATAAAAACGGAGCGAACTGCTCTTCCGTGAGCCTTTCCTTCAGAAGGAGGCACATGCTCCTCCCTGCCTTCAGCCTCAGCAGGCTTTTGGAGGTGGCCCCACGTGCATTCAGGGAGCACATG